ATTCTATTATTACTTATTTATATAATATTCACATATAATTTAAACTAATTTCTTTATTTAAAAATTATTAAATAATATAGAGAGTAAGTTATTTATTTAATTCTATTATTACTTATTTATATAATATTCACATATAATTTAAACTAACTAATTTCTTTATTTAAAAAATTATTAAATATTATAGGGTGTAAGTTATTTATCTAATTCTATTATTACTTATTTATATAATATTTATATATAATTTAAACTAACTAATTTCTTTATAAATTATTTATGATATAGCTTGTAAGATATTTATATTTCTATTATTATTTATTTTATATAATATTTATTTGTTAACTGAATTCATTTAAAACATATCTGTTAATTTAGTTGGTAAGTTGTAAATTATAAGTTATTATATATATTTATCCAAAAACTAAGATTTATATTATGTTAAATTTTTATTTAAATTTTAGAGTAAGTAATAATTTATTTAGTATAATTATAATATAAGCTATAATATAATTTTAACTATTTAAATTTATAGATTTGGAAAAAGTGAAAATGCAATTATGGATGATTTTATTTTTAAAAATAGATTAAGATGGATTCCTTATAACAAATTTAACAACGTTGCATATCTTAATGAAGGAGGATTTGGTACTATATATAAAGCTACTTGGTTAAAGAATAATATAAGGAAAGAAGTAATTCTTAAATGCCATAAAAATTTGAATGAAAATTTAAATGAATTTTTAAAAGAAGTATGATAATATATTATTTTCTATTTTTAATTTAAAATAAGATTTATTTATATTGATAAATTATTATTTTTTTTATAGTGGGAATATCATAAAAGTGTTTTAAGTTCGAGTGATGTTATAGATTTTTATGGATTTACAGAAGATCCAAATACTTCAAAATATATGGTAGTAATGGATTATGCAAATAAAGGTAATTTAAGAGAAAATTTAACAAGAATAGTTGAAAAGAAATGGGATCAAAAATTATTTATGTTGTACAAAATTATTTCTGGACTTAGTATGATACATGAAAAAGACCTTATTCATTGTGATTTTCATGATGGCAATATTTTAAATCATAATGATGATAATAATGATAAAATTTTTATTAGTGATTTAGGATTATGTCAACCTGTAAAATCATTTTTGAAAAAGTATGATATTTATGGTGTCATAACATTTATTGCTCCTGAAGTTTTAAGAGGCAAATCTTATACCCCAGCTAGTGATATATATAGTTTTTCTATGATTATGTGGGAACTTACATCTGGAATACCACCATTTAATAATAGAGCACATGATATTCAACTTAGTTTAAGTATTTGTAAAGGTGAACGTCCTGAAATTGTTGAAAATACTCCACAATGTTATGTGGATTTAATGAAAAATGTTGGAATGAAGATCCATCAGAAAGACCATCTTCTAAAGAAGTATTAAATATTATTAGAAAATGGATTTTTCCTCCTTTTGGTGAGGAAATTGAAGAATTTAATGAAGAATTAAAATGCAATATTATGGAATTTATAAATGCACCAATTGGGCATAACAATCTAGCTACAAAATCTCATCCTAAAGCATGTTATACAAGTCGCTTACTTGATTTTACTAGTAAAAAATTGAATGAAATTCTTGAAAGTGAAGATTCACAAGCATATGATTGTGTAATTAGAGATTCAAGGTCATTAGGTATGTACACAGTAAAATTTGATAAACCGGATCTATCGGTTCCACTAAAAATATCCGGTTTATCAGGTTTATCGGGATATCCAGTATAGCGAAAAAATTTCGATATATTGGAAATCTATTATACTGGATTTTTTTAAAGAATTCATGCTAATAAAATTAATATACACTATATTTTAATTTTTCATCTTAGTTTTAAGTTGAAAATGAATATAAAATATTTTTAATTGAATATATAAGTAATTTATAACTTCGGCCGGAATTAAGATTTTTATAATTCTGGCCAAAATTAAGATTTACTGCATCACGTTACTTAAATTTTATTGGTTAATGATCACGTGATCCGGTTTATCGAATATCGAGCTTTTACTAGTAAACTCCTATAATATATAAAAAATTAATCTTGCAAAATTATTTATGTAAATTAATTTATTTATTTAATTATTTAGATGAAAATACCAGTAAAAAGTCAAATAAAATTCTTGAAAGTGAAGGTTCACAAGCTAGTGTAAAAGCGAATGAAATGCTAGCAAGTGAAGATTTGAATGATTATATAATTAAAGATTTGGAGTCATTAGGTATGTGCTATGATATATAAAAAAATTAATTTTGTAAATTAATTAACTTTATTTATTTAATTATTTATATATTAAAACAGATGAAAATTAACCGATTGTTTGTATTTTTAAAAAAGGATTTATATTTTTTTAAGTAATAATATTTGATATTATGCATTCAACAGAAATTGTTCTTGATTTTATTCTTTTTGGATTTATTTAAACACTAAGGTTAGAGTACTAGTAAAATATTTTACAAGATTCTTAGTTTGTAATTTAAATAATTCCTTTTTTTTATATTTTATTATTCTTTTAAGAATTATTTAAACACTAAGGCTAGAGTAGTAAATATTTTATAATTTCTTAGTTTGTAATTTAAATAAATCTTTTTTATTTATAACTTTTAAATTATTAAATGTAAATTATCAAAATAATAATAAGTACAAAACCATTTCTAATATTTCTAATATATAAAATTAAAAATAAATAATGTAAAATTTTTTATACTCATTTCAAGAGTTGATTATATTTTAATATATATTGTTGACTTTATTCTTAATATGATTTACTGTAAATATTTTGGGACAAAGGTACTACACCAAAGATAACTGCTGGTTTATATGACACATAAGTTATTAAGTTATTACTCTTGATAAACTAAAGTCTATTGACTTTATTTTACTTGATTTACAAGTACATTTTGTGCATACTATAAATGAATATATAATTTATTGCTTAGTATAATCGAATTAAAAAAAGCAAATGTACAGTACAATAAATTATTAGGTTACCAAATCACATTGAATAATTTCCTTATTATGCAAACATTTTACAGTATTTGCAAGTTGGAGTTCCAATTTATATTACAATTCCATTTGAGTTTATTAAAAGTCTCTTTTAATAGGATTGTAAATGTAACATATCAGAGATGACTTTGCTTTTTATTAATGAAATAGAAAGTAATAATGAACCTACTAATGAATCATTGAAAATTTTTGATACTGATGACTTTGACAATAAAAATATGGTATTAGAACCTTCGTTAAAATTTATGTAGGCCAAGTCTTTCAAACATGGGTTGATGCAGAAACTTTTCTAAATGAATATGCATTACAAAAAGGATTCAGCTTTAGAAGAAGACTTGCTGAAGTTCCTGTTGAATATAGTATAAAGGTTGTACGTAAAATTAGTTGGGAATGCAGCTGCGCTGGTAAATATCATCCTAAAAAAATTATATATCCTCGTAACCATCAGTCAAAATGTACTAATGAGTAGATGGAAACCTTCCTAAAAAAATCTTCTGCTATTATTTTTATAACAGTTGTTGATTTACATAACCATTCAATAACACCTTTAGGCTTTACTATCAATTAATAATGATGATATGGTGCAATTTGTTGATTTTTGTGTTACACATGGTACAACTGGAGCACGAAATATAGGATGCCTTTTAAAGGAAATTTCCAGGAAGAAAAATTTATCAGAAAATTTATATAATGTCATCCAAAATGCCAAGAAAAAACTTACTCCTAATATTAATTTGGATGCGTCTGATCTTTTGCAACATTTGTATAATCTTAAAACTAAAAGCGAAAATTGATGGCCCTGAACATAGATTATGTTGCATTATTTGGTTGTTCCTGAACAACAACAATATATTTGGACAAGATTTCATGATATAATCTTTTTTGAAGTTTTTTTGGACGCTTCATATGCTTAATAAATGTCAAATATACAGATTCAGATCCAGCAATAACAAATGCAATAATGGCAGAATTTTCAAGTTCTGTACACTGTTTATGTATCTTTTATTTAGACTTAAATTTAAAAAAAAATTGAGAAGATGGGAGCAACTCAATTTCAGGACTCTTGAAAAGATTTTTATACATAAATACAATGGTTATTGAAATCTTTGAAAAATGGTTTGAATCTTTTAAGATGAAATATACAGCTGCTAGCAGTTATATTAAACGCCAACTAGAACCTTAAAAACAAAATGGGCTAAATAACCAATTTACTGCAGGAGCTAATAGCACACAGCATGTTGAAAGTTTAAATAGTGTGATACATGATTAGTATGTAAAAGCAAACTCATCTTTAATTAATCTTTTTAAAGAAATTCAAGATATTTTAATAAAGAATCAGAATATGTTCATATGGAAGAATATAAAAATTAAATACCAGCTATTGGTCTCGTTACTATACCGAAAACATATTTTAAAACATTAGAAGCTATTGTTGATGAATATCTCCTAATACCAACAAAAATCTCTGTTTGTAAATAAATGCAAGAATGTTTCTTTTATGATGCATTTAAACTTACCTCACAGATTGGAATTCAATTATGCAAGTAATTACTATATATTTTGTGTAAAATACTGTATAATAATACACTTATAAATATTCTTTTTTTTTATTTAAATACATACTACAGATGATGATGTACAACAATCATCAGGAAGTTTTTAGGTGGGTCAGTCCATATAATTCCATGTGGGTTTTCTCAGAAATACGTGGAATTCCACACATTCCTAATATCCTACATGGATCCACACTAAATTTCGTGGACTTATGCCAAAAATACCACATGTTTCATCACAGAGTATTCGGAAAATATTGAAACTATTTAGATTTCCACATATTTCCACAGTATTTGATATGGATTTTCATGTGGATTTTAAATGGAAAAAAATTCCTGATGATTGTCAAGTGATATTTTACAGACAATTGAAATATCAAAGATTGTTGAAATTGGCATCTAGCTTTTCTTGTAGTAAAAAAATCAATTTGTAGTTTTAAAGGCAGGTGTACTTGTAGGGTCCTTTGTAATATGCAATTACACATGGCTATCCATACATGCTGTCATTTTTACAAAATTCTTTGAACTTCTCCTAATGCAAAATGGCATATATCAACTCAGTGGTATAAAGATGACAAACTAAAAAATAATGATTTAGTTCAGCAAGCACCAATTTCTTTATGTATAGAGTCATCTTCAGATAATGTTAGTATTATTCAATTTTGAATATTAAAATATATTCGTGGTAATGAATAATAATATACACTAGTTTTTTAAAAGATTAATGATAATAATAGACAAAAATATGGGCGTGTATAATGAAGGAAGTATTGATATTGCTATAAGGCTATAAGTATAAATTCATATGATGAATTAATAATTGGACTATTTCAGGGATTTCTTTCAAGTAAACAATCAATTGATACCAATCATGTTATTTCTACTTGGGAAGGGAGACCTCCTAGCAGAGCAAAAAGTACTATAGAAGTTCAATATTCACAATTTCACATGCAAAGAAAAGAAAATTGTTATTAAATATTGATAATATTCAACCATATAATGAAGATTACAACCAAATAGAGAAAAAGACACTAGAAAACAATGTCAAAAATGTATTCAAAGAGGTCATAACCAAGTAACCTGTAACCTGGTATTTAGTAATGTGAATAATGAGAATAGAAGATAGATACAGAATGTATGGTAGATTAGTGATGAGATCCCCTGATTCCCTCTTTCATCAATATAAAGAGTTGCCACATCAAATCGGCATTCTCATGGACGATCGAATGAATAAATGAATGAACGAACAATTATGATCAACAAATAATATGGGTGCTTTGCAGCAGAAAGGGACGAAACTACTAAAAAAATTCAAATTTTCTTTTATATGCCAAAAATATTCTAAATGCTATAATTTGTTCAGATTTTATATTAACTCATTNAAAGTGGGTAATTCCTATGAAATTACCTGCTTTTTCTTTTTTATTTTATATTATTTTTATTTTTATTTTTTTATTCCCTTTTTTTTCTTTTTTTTTATTTCTTTTTTATTTCTTTTGTTCACTTGATAACCAACTCAAGCAGATAACATCCTACTTTGTTATTGATAAAGTCTGCTAATTCTAAAGGAGGAATTGGCTATGTCTTCTTTACCATTAAATAAAAATTTAGCACACTATTAATAATTTTTTCTTTGTCATAATAGGTAAATGCAGAGATTTACAATCACTGATAAAATGAAGAAATTTCTTAGAGGAGTTCTTGAAAAAAGTGCATATTAAGTATTAAAAATGTGAAAATTCTTTTTTTTTGATGTTTATACTTTATATTTGTTATCTGACCTCTTATTATTGGATTGTATTTATTCCTTTTTTTATTTATCAGTTTTAGCAATATTTTGTATTGAAACACTGGACAACAGATGAAAGTTCTCTGAATGGAGCATTACTGGTTTTCTAGATGAGTGTAAATGGCTCAAGAGAACTTTAAAAGAGGTGTGTATTTTTTTATTTGCAAAGTGGGTAACTTCCTAAGTCAAAATTAGAACGGATAACTCATTGAGTCGGGGAGTTCACAAATTTTACTTAGGAGGGTACTGGATTTGTTTGTTTGGGTTGGGTAAGGGTGAGCAAAGTGGGTAATTCCTATGAAATTCACAGGTCGAATAAAGGGCTATCAGGTGATTTTCAATCACCTGATAGCCCTATGTTTTTCCATCGATTCCGCTTTGAATAGAATCTGGCAGGCCTATATGAAATTTAACCGATTTTTAGCGTAAATCAGGGATAAATAACATGGCTATCGAATTAGAGAATATCGGGTAAGTTCAATGCCAAAACCAGGAGGAATCTAAGCATCCCGATATGACTATAATATTCCGATAAATCAGGTGTATATCATTTGAATATCAGTTTTAAATTGTATATTGATAAAATCACGAAAATTTAATTTAAATAAATATAGTATTTTATTTTACAATTAAATATTGCATGTAATATTGTTCTATTTAAATTATAATAAATAAATTGCTACATTATATTCAACTTATGTTATTACAAATACGAAGTAGTAAGTTTAAATCTTGCTTGATTCCGATTTATTTATTTCATTTATATTATAGAATCTACTTGAAAAAAAATTAAAATAATTATTAATAAACTAATTATTATAAAATATTAACGAACAAATAAAAAACTTACTTGGTAAAATAAAAAATATTTATTATTCGGACTGGTAGGAAGATGAAATAGCCCATTCCGGAGCATTACGAGGTGGCTTGGAATTATCTATGTACATTTGATCGTCGTACCATCGTTTCCTTACTATTTTTAAGTTCTGAGTGGCTTCACCTACTTCATCAGCACGTCGCAAGAGAATCCGCAACTAAAAAGTTTAATTATGTAAGTAATTGAAAAAAAATACAATGTAATAA